AACACTAATGCCAGAAATATATAAAGAGATAAGAGCTCAAGTGGAAGCTAAACTATGTACTGCAAAATATATATCTTTTACTACAGACATTTGGACCAGTTTTGTAAACAATGAATCATTCATAAGTTTAACAGCGCATTATATTTCCGCCGACACATTTAAAAAAGAGATATATACTTTGACAGTTAAACATTTCCCAGTCAGTCATACTGGTGGCAATATTGCTGATATAATCAACAATATTATGGAAGAGTGGAATCTTAGTATTGATCAAATCCATGTGATTGTAAGAGATAACGCTGCCAACATGATTTGCGGAATAGGTAACTTATATATTTATTATTATTTAATATTTATATATTATATATACATTATATACATAAACTAATAGGAATATTAATTATTTTTTGTTTTATTGCAGATCTTACAGTTGCAGAATCTGTCGGTTGTTTTATACATTCATTGCAACTGGTTATCCATGATGCAATTTTTGTGCAACGAAAAATTGTTGATATTATAGCAAAATGTCGCAAAATTGTATCTCACTTTAGTCATTCATCGCAGGCCTGCACAAAATTGAAAATAATTCAAGAAAAATTAAAACTTCCGACCCACAAGTTAATACAGGATGTTGTCACACGTTGGAATTCGACATATTATATGCTGTCACGCCTTTATGAGCAAAAACAGGCTGTCACTGCATATGCAACGGAACATGATATTCCTACTCTTGATGCACAGCAATGGCATTTAATTGGAAATGTAATTATTGTTTTAAAACCAATAGAAGAAATAACAAAGATTGCCAGTGCCGATGATGAAAGCATTGGATATGTAATACCGTCAATAGCTACTCTTCAATCTTACTTGTCGAAACGCACTCAATCTCAAGAAAAGGATATAATGATTCTAAAAGAAGATTTAAAAAAATCAATTGAAAAAAGATTTTTAAACTTTTCTGGAAAAAATATTCAAGAAAGCTCTTGTTTTACACACGCTACATTTTTGGATCCACGTTTCAAAACTCGCTTTTTAAAAGATGAAGTCAAAGTAAAAAAATTAATCCTTGACGAGCTTCTTGCTATCAATAGGAATAGAAGCAACGATGAACAAAATATTTTCAATTCCAAGGATAAAACTACTGATAATGATAATGCACCGTCTTTTTCTGAAATTCTTCATGATGCAGCTCATGAAAGTATTTGGCAATGTTTCGACGAAATCGCGAATGGGTCGAAATCAGATGTTGACAGTGTTGACACAAGCACAGAAGAGGAAAAAAACTTTAATAGACAACCCAGCGATAGAACGAAGAAAAAAACGATTGTATTCACCGCAGAAATAGATAAATATCTTGCCATGCCTTTAATAACGCGAAAGGAAGACCCAGTAGTATGGTGGAAAACTCACGCTTCAGAATTGCCAAATTTAAAAATATTATTTCTCAAATATTGCAGTGCCCCTCCAAGCTCTGTAAACTCCGAAAGGTTATTTAGCGCCGCAGCAGCCGTTTATACAGAAGACAGAAATAGATTACTTCCAGATAATGCAGAAATGCTCATATTTCTTATGAAAAATATGAAATATTTGAAAAATATGTAACTATAAATATATGTAATTAATAAATAAATAACAATATAATAATTAATCTTATTGTTAGTGTAGATTACATCGCAGGTGTTTTCGACAAGCTCATCGTATATATGTACAAATTGCGCGATAAGGGTAAATTACTAAATTAGTAAATAGACTAAATAGTAT